CATTCCTTCACACTTTCCTAACATCAGGGTCTTTTCCAGGGAGTCTTCTCTTCTGATGAGATGGCCAAAATATTGGAGTCTCAGCTTCAGGATCTGTCCTTCTGGTGAGCACTCAGGGTTGAATTCCTTCAGAACGGATAGGTTTGTTCTCCCTGCAGTCCTGGGGACTATCAAGAGCCTCCTCCAGCACCACAATTCAAATGCATCAATTCTTCGACGGTCAGCCTTCTTTATGGTCCAGCTCTCACTTTCATACATCGCTACTGGAAAAATCATAGCTTTGACTATGCAGACCTTTCTCGGCAAGGTGATGTCTCTGCTTTTTAAGATGTTGTCTAGGTTTGTCATTGCTTTCCTCCCAAGAAGCAGGCATCTTTTAATTTCGTGGCTGCTGTCACCATCTGCAGTGATTGTGGAGCCCAAGAAAGTAAAATCTGTCACTGCCTCCACATCTTCGCCATCTATTTGCCACGAGGTGATGGGACCAATGGCCATGATCTTAGTTTTTCTGATGTTGAGCTTCAGACCATTTTTGGTGCTCTCCTCTTTCACCCTCATTAAGTTTTTAAATTCTTCCTCGCCTTCTGCCATCAGAAAAGAACAATAGCTCTATTGAATAGAAAATGTCTTATTGGCAGCACACAACCATCAAGAAGACTTTCCAGAGAGTCCAATACGACCCTTCCTTATTTGACAAGACAGTAACTACAATTTAATAGCAAGACTGTTGCATTTTTTAAAAATAAAACTTTACAAAACCACAATTACAATCTAAAATGTGGGTGAGGAGAGAACAAGTTGGTGCTGAAAAATAGCATGACGTGGTACTCTTGTTGAGGGACTTGTACTATGCTGACTATAAATGTCATGACTTGCACTGAACTATACAAATGAGCCAGAAAAATAGGGTGTTAATAATAAGCGTTTAAATGGCACCACATTTATTTTTAAGGTCCATTGTTAACAGAATACAAGACAACTACTGTGTTTACAACAACAGAACGCAGGAACTAAGGATGCATAACTAATATTCCAGTTATTCTGTGTGCCTGCGAGGAGGCTCTGCCACAAGATGCATCATTGACCAGTCACATGTGCAATGAACAGGAGCAGATTTCCAATAACACACTGCAGAACAGCAGCCAGTGGTTGAGGTGCAGTAAATTAATGCATAAATCCACACATTTTAAAATACTGTATAAGACTGCTACCTGTAGCCAAGCTATAAAGAGGTAACCAGTGCTCTAGGGGAACCATTTCCATCGACCAAAAGGACTCCTAATTACTTCATATTGCTATTTACAGTGCTGAAAATCCAACTGAGATAAATTAATATGAATGGAGCCCAAGAAAGTAAAATCTGTCACTGCCTCCATATCTTCCCCTTCTATTTGCCAGGAGGTGATGGGACCGGTGGCCATGATCTTAGTTTTTTTGATGTTGAGTTTCAGGCCGTTTTTTGCACTCTCCTCTTTCACCCTCATTAAGAGGTTCTTTAATTCATCCTCACTTTCTGCCATCAGAGTGGTATCATCTGCATATCTGAAGTTGTTGATATTTTCTCCCGGCAATCTTAATTCCCACAGCAACCAATCTTAATTCTGGCTTGGGATTCATCCAGTCCAGTTTTCTGTATCTTTCTCTATCTCCCCTGCATTTTGTTTCCCTTCTCCTCTCTGCTGTTTGTAAGGCTTCCTTGGACAGCCACTTTGCTTTCTTGCATTTCCTTTTCTTTGGGATGGTTTTCGTTGCTGCCTCCTGTATAATGTTACGAGCTTCTATCCAAAGTTCTTCAGGCATTCTGTCCACCAAATCTAGTTCCTTAAATCTGTTCTTCACTTCTACTGTGTATTCGTAAGGGATTTGGTTTAGATTATACCTGAGTGGCCCAGTGGTTTTTCCCTACTCTCTTCAGTTTAAGCTAATTTGGTCTCTAGTTCCTCTGCCCCTTCAAAATCCAGCTTGTACTTCTGGGAGTTCTCGGTCCACATACTGCTGAAGCCTACCTTGGAGGATTTTGAGCATAACCTTGCTAGCTCTACTGTCAAATGAAGGACTTCATAGCTAGCCTTCAGCCACTAACAAAAGCGCTGTTCGTTATTTACAGCGCTTGGTGGCAGCTGCTCTCGGCCCCCAAGTGTGATGCTTTAGAGAAGCCATTCTCAACCGGGGCCAGATGGTCTCTTGAGGGCCCCTGGCACATTTGAAGGGGGTCCCAGGCAGGAAGCCATTATTTGCACCCCTTCTTTGTAAGGTTTGTTATGAAATTGATACAGTCTTGATTCAGCCTATATTTCTTTCACATTGTGTTTATGGCTGTGGCCGAAGAATGGTTGAGAATAGCTGCTTTAGAGTGCATTCAGTGTTAGATACAATGAGGAAAAGGACGAAAAGAGAGAGGGGGAGGAAGAAGAGAAAATAAGCCTAAACAGCCTTCCATGGAACTCCATGGTAAGCCCCTTTTCCCAGGCAACACACTAATGCAAACGGTGTTCTTTTCACCTCATTGGGTAGGACGGCATAACCAGAAATGACGTGAAGTTGTTTAGCGGTGTTTATGGATGCACAGCAGAGTTATTGAAGTTTGGCATAAGGAACTGGAGAGAAATCACGAGTTCCTTTTGTTGAATTATACAGGAAGAGACATTGTCAAGTTGAAGTCCGTGCAGCAACATTACAGGAGGAAAACTGTAGCATTCACCGAAACCAAAGCAATTGTATAGGAAAGTTTCCCATGCAACGCAGACTATGATGCTGTTCTTAGTAGAGCTGTTTGAACAGATATGGTCCTGAACAAACTATATTAACTCTTCAAATGGAATCTCTGTGGCATGCAAAAATAAAGATGAGCAGTGGTCGCTAGATATCCTTGGACTACAACTCCCAGAAGTCCTGGCCAGCACAGCTAGTGGTGAAGGCTTCTGGGAGATTCAGCCCAAGAATGCCTGTTTCCCCTCCAATGCCATGGGTCTCCTCTGTGATGCTCAACAGAGGGAATACAATAATAGGTACTTTCTTCCTCTTGGAGATGGCGGCTTTTTTCCTAGAAGTGCAGAGCTGGAAGGGACACAGTGGGGGAATTGAACTCCCAACCTCTGGCTCTGCAGCCAGAGACCCAAACCACGGATCTAGCATAAATGGAAAGATTGCCCTACGATGGATCAGGAAGACTCTGGTTCAAATGTTGCTTTAGCCACAAATTTGCTCTGTGGCTTTAAGTAACCTTCCACCTCTCAACCCAATTCCAGACTCTTGCAATCGGTCTCTTTCTCAAAGGATTTTTTTGGAAAGCAAGATAATTTGACCAAAGACTTTTTTGCACACCTGAAAAGTACCATGGGAACTATGACAGAAGTTAAGATAAATAATAGTTTTCACAAAGGTATCTGTCTGGGGTAGCCAAAATAACAGGGACTCTTGTGGCACTTTGGACCCTAGTTATTTGTCATGAACTTTCACAAACTCTAGCCAACGTCTTCAGGTGCTTTAGATGCTTCTAAAGAAAAGAGCTGTGATCCACAAAAAAATCTTGTTAGGTTTTAAGGGGCTGCGAGATGTTGTCGAAATGAAATGGTTCCTGTGCAAAAAGTTCTCTGTTTTGGATGGTTTTGGCCACAAGGGGTCACCCTTGCTCAGATTTTGCAGAACTATAGCCGGTTAATAGTAGAAGCCTGCCTGTATGACTATACAGAGTTGATAGAAGTAAAGGCTTGTGGTCCCCGGCTAAATTAAAAAGTAGTTGACTCTTGAGTTGTTCACAGGCCTTAAGCTGGGCAGCCCCCAGCCAGTAAGGTGCTACCTCGCCACAGTCTGTTAACCTCAACAGATGGGAAACCTTGACATCTGAGTGTTCAGCCTGGAGGCAGGCAGTGCATCATGGCCTCTTCCAATTTGAAGAGACCCTTGTCCAGCAGGCTGAGGCAAAGAGGCAGTCCTGAAACCAGCAAAATCAGGGAGCTGGACAGGGGACAGATTGTATTTTTATCTGCAGTGGGGAAGGGATGGTCACTCTCGAATTGGCCTTATCAGCCACACTAGATGCTGTTCCAAGACCTCTATTCAGAGCACGTTACCGTCATCTCTCGAGACTGAAGGATGCCCCCCAAATTAAGTCTC